CCCCAAAACCCCAAAACCCCAAAACCCCAAGAAATTTTGTAAATCTAAAAATCAAAACAAATTTAATTTAAATTGGAAATATTATAGAGTAGTTATAAATTAAATTAATTTCCTATCCAAATCATCAAAATAAGGAAATATGAATTCTAACTATAATCAGAGACCTCAAACATCAGCTCCTGCATTTACACTTGCTAGAAACTCAGAGAATTCCATACCAGATTAGTCACCTTAGGGTGAACATTCATTTGATATAAATCAAAAATACTTATCTAGGGAGGAGAAAATATCATCTTATCAATCAAATTTCCATCCTTATCTAAGCAAAGAAATTTCTCCTATGAGTGGAAATAATCTTGCAAATAATTAGCATTGGGCACAAAATAATAATTAACTTGGAGGTTTAGGAAGTGTTTCAACATATGGCATGGACATTTTATCGTCTGAAAAGAAATAAAACAGATCAAGAAGAAAAAGCAAGCAAAAGAGATAATCAGATTAGTTCAATTAATTCAGCAGCAGCCATGCTGGACATCGCAGCAGTTCTGATGCGATAGGAGGATAAACGGGAACTTACACTCAAGAAATTGAAAACATTTTGAATCAAAAGGAATAGGAACTCTAGCAAGTAAATCAGTTGAGGATCTAAACTTTAGAAAACATAATTGAAGAAAAAATGAGAATAATAGAGTCTTTAGAGAAGTAAACAGGCCCTTCTGTTGGAGCAAACACAGTTATTGGTAATGTAGGGGGTATAGGAAGCAGTCTCCTTGTTTAATCTCCAATGCATTAAAACTAAATAAATAGTACAGGTTAACTACTCTAGGCAACAAGATAAAATACCCCAAATCTCGGATTCAATAAATTCTCACAGAATTCTGGAAATGTACTTTCGGGAGGTAGTGCAATAGAAGCGTCCTCGTCAAATCATTTGCATCATTACCTAAATCATAATATCGATGAATAGCCTTATTTGAATCAGCAATTAAGTAAGTATAAGCAGAGAGCTCTAAAGTACAAAGGACTCTATAATTCAGTAAAGAATGCTCTTTAAGCAGAGTAGATCAACTCTAATAATTATCTTCAATAATATGAAGAGCAAAGGATTAAAAATCAAGAGTTAGAAATAAGAGTGAGCAGTGTATAATTAAAGATTGAATAAGAGATAAAAAGAGTAAAGTAGGAGTGTTAAAGCCTCATAAAGAAATAAGAACAGGATTTTAACGAAGAAAGAGTTTAAATGTAAAACTAAGTCTAAATTAAATGCCTTGAAGTAGAGCAGAAGTAATAAATAATTAACGAATATAGAAATGACTAGCAGAAAGCAAAAGAGTTCTAAGGACTGAGAGAGGAAATGATTCACAAGTTGTAATAGAAAAACTCAGATATAAGACTATTGGAGCTAGAAATACAGCGATTAATAACAGATAACAACAGTATTTAATAGTCAAATGAAGATCTCATTAATGAGATGGAGCATCTTAGACAATCATCAATGGAACATCTAGAGAATATGGAGAGAGAACTTTAGCAAAAATATGACTAAGCTTAAAATGGAGAGTAGGAATTAAGAGATCTCTAGGAATAATTCTTGGAGTTCAGGGAAGCCAAGAAACTAAAAGAAAATGATTTGAAATTATAATTAGACAAGTACAAGCATGATGTTGATGTCATAAATAGAGATAAATCCTTAGAAATATAGCATTTAAAATTAGTTTCAGAGACAGAAAGATTAAATCTCAAGTCAGAGTTTGAGGTTAGACAGGAAATCCTCTCTAAGGAAAATTCTTACCTTATTGAAGAAAGAAAAAAGCTTAAATCTGATATCAAAGAGTGGCAGTCTAAATTCGAGGCAGAATTCAAGCTTTATAAGCATGAAACTGACCTTTTAAGAAATGAGTTACTTAAGGTTAAAAGAGAGGAGCTAAATAAAAATAAACTACAAGAGGAAATTGATAATCTAAAACAAGTTAAAGCACAGTAAAAGGCACAGTTAGAAAAGATGATGCTAGATAACTAAAGCTTACAAAGACAACTTCAAATGGCAAAAAATGCAATAAATAATTAAGGAAATTTTTAATAAAACACTATACTCAATACTTAAAACAGCAATAATCAAATCGATAACAATAGCTTTATACAAGGAGAAAACCCAAATTAAAAGTCATTTATCATCACAGATGTTTAGTAATAATACAGTGACAGAAGACATCATTCGTAAAGATCGGCTCATTTATAAAAGCAAGATCAGACACAGATTATAACTGAGAATGACTTGCCACTTTAAATATCTCCAAATCATCCATAACTTACTTAAATAAGTGGCAATCTTACTCCTCGAGAGCGTTAAACAACATAAACTCATCATAAAGTATTCTCTGATCAAATAAATTCAATCAATTTTTAAAAAGAATACTTTGCTATGAAAGAGGATAACACTAATTATAAGATCTAAGTCTATGATCTTCAGTAATAGGTTTAAATTCTAGATTCTAAACTTCAAGAGCTAGAACATAAAAGAAATGAACTAGCAAATCATAATAAATAAAGGCGAAAGGATTTAGATGAACTTGAAAAGAAATATAATGATGGTGTAATAAAGAATAAAGACCTTGAGAATCAAATCACAGAGCTAAATCATTTTCAAAAGCAACTATCTCATGATATTGAGTCTAAGGATCGAGAGATAAGCTATTTACAGGATAAAATCAACAAGCTGAATGATCCTATAACAGTCAAATATGAAAAGGATGGACTAGTTCAAACTTATAAAAAGAGAGTTGCTGAAATGGAAGAATATATACAGTTGCTAGAAACAAAAATTGCAGAATTGAAAGCCTAGTAATTCGAAGTCACCTTAAAGTAATAAAATGCTAAAGAAAACCATAATTATAGTTAAATGGGTGGCGGGGCTAAAATGCAATCTTAAGGATCGAATGACTAAGGAAATCTGAAAAGACTCTCGGTTCAGAGTAGAGATAATTAGTAAACCAGTTTTAGCAATGCTAACACATAAGAGTACTATCATTATAATAACGATAATCATAATTCAAACAGTTATGGTAAAATAAATTAACACAAGCAGACTCTTTAGAGTTCTTTTAAGGATAAAATAGCCTCGATGAAGATGCAACTTAACCTTTGATCATACTTAGCTTATTATGATAAATACTAATGTTACTTTTTAATTAAAGTGGTTTCAACTGAATAACTTTGAAAGTGAATAAATGTGTATTTGGGGTTTTGGGGTTTTGGGGTTTTGGGG